GGGGGGCCCGGCCGCTGGGGGGGGTCTGGCTGCGGTGGGGGGGTCCCGCCGCTGGGGGGGTTCCGGCCGCCGGGGGGGGTGTGCCTCACTCTCCCATCGCCTGCAGATCCTGCAGACAGGGCAGGAGATCATGGAGCTGGACACCAGTGGCTTTGCCACACAGGGCCCCACGGTCTTTGCTGGCAACATTGGGGACAATCGCTACATCGTGCAGGTGTCGCCGCTCGGCATCCGCTTGCTGGAAGGAGGTGGGCGCGGGCAGCGGGCGGGCAAGGGTGGTGGGTGCTGGCCACCCAGTGCTGACCGTCCTGTGCCCACAGTGAACCAGCTACACTTCATCCCCGTGGACCTGGGCTCCCCCATCGTGCAGTGTGCCGTGGCTGACCCCTACGTGGTCATTATGAGCGCCGAGGGCCAGGTCACCATGTTCCTGCTCAAGAGCGACTCGTATGGGGGCCGTCACCACCGCCTGGCACTGCACAAGCCCCCGCTGCACCATGTGAGCACCCGGCCGTGCCCGCAGCCTGCTGGCCCTCCCCCTTCCCCTCCGCCCCGTGCTGAGCCGTCCCTGTCCCTGTAGCAGTCCAAGGTGATCACACTGTGTGTGTACCGAGATGTCAGCGGCATGTTCACTACGGAGAGCCGCCTGGGCGGGGCCCGCGATGAGCTGGGGGGCCGCAGTGGCTCCGAGGCGGAGGGCCAGGGCTCGGAGACCAGGTACGTGGGGGCAGTCAGGGCATGGGCTGGGCCAGGGGGCCTGTGGCAGGCCCCGCGTGACCTGTGTGCCGGCCCCGGCCTCTAGCCCCACCGTGGATGACGAGGAGGAGATGCTGTATGGGGACTCGGGCTCCCTCTTCAGCCCCAGCAAGGAGGAGGCCCGCAGGAACAGCCAGCCCCCTGCGGACCGGGACCCCACCCCGTTCCGGGCCGAGCCCACCCACTGGTGCCTGCTGGTGCGGGAAAACGGAACCATGGAGGTGCGTGGGGCCCTGTGCCCGGTGCAGCTCCCTGTCCCTGGCTTCCTGTGGCTTGTGGCCGCTAACCCCACTCCCCACACAGATATACCAGCTCCCTGACTGGCGGCTGGTGTTCCTGGTGAAGAACTTTCCCGTGGGGCAGCGGGTCCTGGTGGACAGCTCCTTTGGTCAGCCCACCACGCAGGGCGAGGCCCGAAAGGAGGAGGCCACGCGCCAGGGGGAGCTGCCCCTTGTCAAGGAGGTGCTGCTGGTGGCCCTGGGGAGCCGCCAGAGCAGGCCCTACCTGCTGGTGAGTGTGGACCCTTTGTTCCCTGTGGCGGCCCGGCCGGGTGCCCCCACTTCCCTGGTGACCCTGCGCTGCCCCCCAGGTGCACGTGGACCAGGAGCTGCTCATCTACGAGGCCTTCCCGCACGACTCCCAGCTCGGCCAGGGAAACCTCAAAGTCCGTTTCAAGAAGGTGCAGTGACGGGGCTGAGCCGGGCGTGGGGTGGATGTGGAACGGGGTTGGGGGCACGACCCGGCCCTCATGGCGCACCACCCCCTCCAGGTCCCTCACAACATCAACTTCCGTGAGAAGAAGCCAAAGCCGTCCAAGAAGAAAGCGGAAGGCAGCGGTGCCGAGGAGGGGGCTGGTGCCCGGGGCCGTGTGGCCCGGTTCCGGTACTTCGAGGACATCTATGGCTACTCGGGGGTAGGCAGGCGGCTCCGGGGGGGCCCGGGGTGGGGCAGATGGGGCCTCACCTCACAGTGCCTGCCCTCAGGTGTTCATCTGTGGCCCCTCGCCTCACTGGCTCTTGGTGACTGGCCGAGGGGCCCTGCGGCTGCACCCCATGGGCATCGACGGTCCCATTGACTCCTTTGCCCCGTTCCACAATGTCAACTGTCCCCGTGGCTTCCTGTATTTCAACAGACAGGTAGGGAGACCCCAAGGCTCATGTGCCCCGTGTTGCCCTGCCTGGGTCAGGAGGAGGCGCTGGGGACCCTGCGGGGTGTCTAGCAGGTGGACGAGGCCAAGGTCAAAGAGGTGAGACAGTGGGAAGGCTTGGAGGACAGGGCAGGCGGGCGTGGCGGCCGCGGCCCCTGAGGGCGCCTGTTTGCGGGGCCGGTTCCAGTCACTGCTCTGCCCTTCAGGAGCTGTGTGACTCTGGGCCGGGTGCTCACCCTCTCTGAGCCCCGTTTTCTCATCTGTGAGGTCAGTGTGAGGACTCGTGATGAGAATGTGGCAAGTGCTCTGTAGGTGCTGATGCTCTTAGAACTACGGGCGAAGGGCAGCAGCCGGGGGGCCAGTAGGGGTCCCCTCGTCTGTCTGCAGACTCTGGCCTGGTCAGTGTGTGGGTAACTTTTCGCCTGCAGCCTCCAGCTTCCTCTGGGCCCAGACCATGTCTGTGGCCAGCATCCCAGCCCCGGGTGAGCCTGAGAGAAGGGACGGGAAGGCCGTGAAGCACGGGACCGCATGGCTCAGTCCCTTGCACACCCCGGTTCCGGTAGAGCTGAGGGCTGGCCTCGCGGAGCCCTCGGAAGCCCGGGTTTGCCTGCCCTGCCCTTGGTGGATACCAGGCCTCACCGGCCCCTGTCCCCCATGCACCAGGGCGAGCTGAGGATCAGTGTCCTGCCTGCCTACTTGTCCTACGATGCTCCGTGGCCTGTCAGGAAGATCCCCCTGCGCTGCACTGCCCACTACGTGGCTTACCACGTGGAGTCCAAGGTCTGACCCCGTCCTTTTAGGGCCAGGGACCCTCTGGTGTGGCCTCCCGCACGCCCGTGACGCGCTCCTCTCCCCCAGGTGTATGCGGTAGCCACCAGCACCAACATGCCGTGCACCCGCATCCCGCGCATGACAGGCGAGGAGAAGGAGTTCGAGACCATCGAGAGAGGTGCGTGATGCCCAGAGTGGGGTTTGCTGGCGAGGCTGCCCACCCTGACCGCCAGCCCGTGTCCTTGCAGACGACCGATACATCCACCCCCAGCAGGAGGCCTTCTCCATCCAGCTCATCTCCCCGGTCAGCTGGGAGGCCATCCCCAACGCCAGGTGAGGCTGGGGTCTGGCTGGGGACTGGCGGCCAGCCAGGAGGCGGCATCCTCACTCTGCCTCGTGCAGGATCGAGCTGGAGGAGTGGGAGCACGTGACCTGCATGAAGACCGTGTCGCTGCGCAGCGAGGAGACGGTGTCAGGCCTCAAGGGCTACGTGGCTGCCGGGACCTGCCTCATGCAAGGGGAGGAGGTCACGTGCCGAGGGCGGGTAAGGGGCCGGCTGGCGGGGGCGGGCAGTGCCCGGCCGCCCCGGCCCTTGCCCTGCACATCACCCACCCTCCTTCCCCGGCAGATCCTGATCATGGATGTGATCGAGGTGGTGCCTGAGCCTGGCCAGCCCCTGACCAAGAACAAGTTCAAAGTCCTGTATGAGAAGGAGCAGAAGGGTCCTGTGACCGCCCTCTGCCACTGCAACGGCCACCTGGTGTCCGCTATCGGTCAGAAGGTGAGCCCTCCCGCTCACCCCCGGGGCCTGCCACTGCCTGCCTGTTGTCACCCACTGCTTCTGTCCCCCTAGATCTTCCTGTGGAGCCTGCGGGCCAGCGAGCTGACGGGCATGGCCTTCATCGACACCCAGCTCTACATCCACCAGATGATTAGCGTCAAGAACTTCATCCTGGCGGCGGACGTCATGAAGAGCATCTCGCTGCTGCGCTACCAGGAGGAGAGCAAGACGCTGAGCCTCGTGTCCCGGGTACCCATGCAGCCTAGACCCTGTGCTGGGTGGGTGCTGGCCGCGGGCTGGCCTTGACGTCCGTCCCCCGTCCCCAGGATGCCAAGCCCCTGGAAGTGTACAGTGTGGACTTCATGGTGGACAACGCCCAGCTGGGCTTCCTGGGTGAGCGCAGGGCCTGGGGGTCTCGGGGCTCAGAGACGTGAGGGGTGGCCCGGCTGACCCTGGGCTCTGCTCCCCAGTGTCTGACCGTGACCGCAACCTCATGGTGTACATGTACCTGCCAGAAGGTGAGTGTTCCCTCTTCCCCTCTGCGGGGGCTGGCGCTGGGCAGGCAGTGACTTGAGCTCCCTCTGGCCCAGCCAAAGAGAGCTTCGGGGGCATGCGCCTGCTCCGGCGGGCGGACTTCCACGTGGGTGCCCACGTGAACACGTTCTGGAGGACGCCGTGCCGCGGCGCTGCGGAGGGACCGAGCAAGAAGTCGGTGGTGTGGGAAAACAAGCACATCACCTGGTTTGGTGAGTCCCGGGCGGGACGGGCGGGCATGCGGGGCGGGCGGTCAGCCTCGCTCACACGGTGCCTCCTGCAGCCACGCTGGACGGGGGCATCGGGCTCCTGCTGCCCATGCAGGAGAAGACGTACCGGCGGCTGCTGATGCTGCAGAACGCGCTGACCACCATGCTGCCCCACCATGCCGGTCTCAACCCCAGGGCCTTCCGGTGAGTGTGCGTCCCCGCCCCGCGTCCCGCCCCGCGTCCCGCCCCCGCGTCCCGCCGCCCTACACAGCCTGCGTGTCTCCCCAGGATGCTGCATGTGGACCGGCGCATCTTGCAGAACGCCGTGCGGAACGTTCTGGATGGGGAGCTGCTCAACCGCTATCTGTACCTGAGCACCATGGAGCGCGGCGAACTGGCCAAGAAGATCGGCACCACCCCGGACATTGTGAGCCCCCGGCCTGCCCCGCGGGGCCCGCCCCTTCCCACCTGGCCTCCCCCCGCTCACCAGCCCCTCCCCCTGCAGATCCTGGACGACCTGTTGGAGACTGACCGCGTCACCGCCCACTTCTAGGCTCCCGGACGCCACCCCCCCCCCCCGTGCGCTGCCCCCACCCCTTTTTGTACAAAACACGAGGAGGAGATGTTTGCTTTGAGAAGAGCTTGTGGTCATTGTCGGCCTCAGAGCCCCACGGTGTCCCCCCCCCTGCCCCTAGGCCCCAGCTGCTTCGGCGCCCCAGGTCCCGGGGCGTGTGCACTTCCAGCCCTGGCCAGCTCTGTGGGTCCGACGCAGATGAGCTCGGAGGTCCTCTTGCCCCTGGGGCTCCCTAGGTCTCCAGGTACTCAGAGAGCCCCCGGGTCTCAGGCAGGAGGCCCAGGTGGACCAAGAGCCGGACCAGGAGGGCAGTGAGCCGCATAGATAGGGTCTCCAGCCTGGTGGGAGGCCAGAGGGGTCACAGGTTGGTGGGGGGCGGGTCTCAACCGCCTGCCCCCTCCCCCCTCCCCCCCTCCCCCCTCACCTCAGGGCCACTTCAAACTTGAACGTCTCCCAGATGACCCTGATGTGGCGCAGGAGGCTGCCACCGTAGAGGCTCTGGTACGCGGCACCTGCCAGGCGGCTCCAGCCCCTGACCGCACTGCGCAGAGACACGGTCAGCCCGGCCCAGGCCCACTCCCGCCGCCGCTTCCCACCCCCAGCAGCCCGCCAGCCCGAGCCCACCTCTTGGCCATGAGGAAGTAGCGGTCCACGGGGGTGCCCAGCGCGGTGTTGATGGCACGCACGGTGTTGATGTTGCGCAGCACGAGCAGCATGGGCCGCGGCAGGGCCTTGAGCACCCCCATGATGCCCTCAAAGTGCTCCTGCGCCATGGTCTGCATGTAGGCTGCCTCCTCCCGGCTGAGCAGGTGGGAGCCCCACAGCTGCCCCAGGCGCACGGGCCGCTGCATGAGCACCTCGGAGAAGAGCAAGTAGTCTGGGGCGCAGGGCGGGCGGTGAGCCAGGACCGCGGGCCCCACGCGCCCCCACGCCGCGCACCCCGGCCTCACCTCGCACCCCCAGCGCCTCTGCGTGTGTCCTCATGGCGGCGTCGTCCCTGAGAACGATGGCCCTCCACAGCTGGCACAGGGCTGCGCGGTCCCTGCGGGAGGCCGGCGATAAAGCCCGGGCACCAGGCCCTGCCCCGCAGCCCCTCCAGGCTCCCCGGCTTACTTCCTGTCCAGAAACTGGTAGAGCCCGTGGTCCAGCAGCACCAGCTGGGCCTTCCCGTCGGGGCCTTTCCGCACCAGAACTGGGGACACAGCGTGTCGGCTCGTGTCCCCGTCCCCCGACTCCCACCCCACCCCCGGGGACTTTTCCTACCATTGCCAGGGTGGGGGTCCGAGTGGATGAAGCCTGTATAAAATATCTGCTCCGCAAAAGCCTGGATGAGCTTCTCTGCGATCTGCGGAGAGAACGGGACCGGGCCACCATCACCCTGTGCTTGGGGCGCACGTGCCCGCCCACGCCCACACACTCATGCACAGGCACTCACGTCCTTCACCGCCAGCCCCATGCACTTGATGGCCTCCACATCGCTGACCTTGCAGCCCTCGCAGAATTCAGCCGTCAGCACACGCTGGGAGAGAGCAAGTGGCTGAGCTCAGCAGGGCTGCGCGTTCCCACCCAGGAGGGGGCCCAGCCCACCTTGCTGGACGTGTCCCAGTGCACGCGGGGGACCACGATATAGCGGAAGTGCTGCAGCTCCCGGGCACAGCGCTCGGCATTTCGGCCCTCGTTCTCGAAGTCCAGCTCCTGGGCCAGGGTGCCCTTCAGGTCCTGGGGGCCACACGGGCAGCTGGGGGTCGAGGTTGGGGACCAGCCCACCCCAGCACATAACATGCGGGCCCTGCTTGCTCCAGCCTCTGGGCAGCGCTTACCTGGAGGACCCAGCTGAAGCCGAAGCTGGGGTGCATGAACTCGATGAGCTGGAGCAGGAGCTCCAGGGTGTGGATGTCGCCGTGAAAGCGGTCCCGCAGATCGATGTACTGCACCTGCGTTGGGCGAGGGTGCAGGGAGGACCCAGGGCTGCCAGCCCGCCCCAGACCCCGCTGCGGTGCAGAGCGGGCCCCCACGCACCTTCACGGCCACCTCCGTGCCGTCGTGCAGCTTGGCTCGGTGCACCTGGGCCAGGCTCGCGGCGGCGATGGGTTGATAGTCGAACTCCCGAAAGAGCTTGTGGGGCAGGGCCTGGAAGTCCTCGAGGAACAGCTCGTCCACCTGGCAGGAGAGGGTGCTTGGAGCGGGGGGCGGGAAGGCGGGGGGGTGCTGCCAGAAACCCCAGCCCAAGTGCGGGGCTCACCTCCTGGAACCTGCGCGTGAGGGCCCTGTCCTCCAGCACACGCAGAGTCCTGATATACTCCGGGGGCAGCAGGTGGTTGAAGGAGCACAGCCCCTGGCCCAGCTTCACGTAGAGGCCCCCATTGCTGATGGCCCCGGCGACCAGGGCATCAGCCGCCCGCTGGTGACATGCAGACATCACCTCCAAGTACCCCGGGCTGTTCTGACCATAGGCATGGAGGGAAGGGATGGGGGCGGGCGGGCAGGCACCTCCTTAGTGCCCCCAGCACCCACCTTCATCGAGCATGTCACCGTCCCCCCTCTTCTCCCACTGTGGCTAGGATGCAGGGACAAACCTCTTCCACCCCGCGCAGGACGACGTTTGCACACCACCAGTAGTCCAGGGAGATCTGTAGGCCTATCCTCAGAGACCTGTTGGCAGAGGCTGCCTTCAGCCCTCGGCAGGCACGGCACCTCAGAGCCGTCCCACCCCCGTGCCAAACCACCGGCCCGGGGCGAGCGTGCGGCAGGGGCTGCTGGGCTCCCAGGCTGGGCCAGGAGGGAGAGGACAGGCTCTGGTCTGGCCTCCTTGCTCTCAGCACTGCCAGCAGGGCAGTCTCAGCTCCCGGTCTACGCCACCCGTGCCCGAACGTGCGCCAACGAGCACCCAGCACAGACGGGAGGGGCGGGAGCTGGTGGGGGGGCGCTCTGGCCCGAATGACCGGGCTTCTTTCTCATTGCTCTCTTATATAGCACCTGAGACCTGTGCAGCGCTGATGGCTAGTGAGCGGGCGGCTGTCACCAGCTCCCGTGCTCAGACATGCCCTCGCCCCAGGCCCTTCTGCACCGCGCGCCCCGCACACCGAGAGCCCCCAGGCGCTCTCCATGTGTCCGTGGACAGCAGCCTCCAGGGAGCTGGATCCCAGAGCAGGGCTCCTAGTGCTCTCCACGGTCCTGGGGACCCGGGCCCCTCCTTACGTTGGCAAGGGTACTCACTCCCCGTGGCCCAGGCTATGGACAGGCCGCCCTGGGTCTGGAGAGGGAAGGAACCAGGGCTGAGTCCAGCCTCCAGCATCACAGACCGCAGACCCTCAAACCTTCATGAGAGGGGTGTAGGGCTCCTGTTCCTCAAAGAAGAAGCCCTGAGGGGACCTGGGGCCCCTGGTCAAGCCAAACCTCCAACTTCTGCCTCCCACCTCTGGCACAGGAGGGTCAGAGTTGAAGGGCAGGAAGGAAAAGGCTGCTGGGTCTGGACCGGTTTGCCTCCCTGCTAGGGTGTATGCTACCCCCGCAGTCGCGGTGACTGAGCATCCCCGAGCAGAGTCAGAGGGCGGCCCGCGCCTTACACGAGCCGCGCTGCACTCCACAAATGAAGGGCTCTGTCCCACTCACCCCCAGCCGGACCCAGGGAACAAACAGGACTATCTGTGAGGAACAGAGCGCATGGTTGGCAGGGTGAGCAAGGACACAGGAATTCTCTGAGCTCCCTAGAGATACAAAGAGGGGGAGGGGGGCTTCCCTCCTTCCTGAATAATTCAGTCCAAAAGGGAATGCAAGGTCTGCAAAGGGGCGGGGGTAGTTGCTACACTCGGTGACTGATCAAATAAGTCACTAAATTATGGACAAGGGAAGCCAAGATTCTTCCAGCTGGAGAAAAGAGTAAATGAGAATGATCTCTGTCCTGGGAAGTATCTGTGTGTACAAGGTGTGGTGTGTACGGCTAGACACAGAGATGGACACATGTAAGTGTGAGCGTGCACACAGCCACACGTCCAAACAGCCCCTCGCTCTAGTCTATGGAAGGGCCTGGGAACAGACCGCCCAGAGCAGTGAGCACACCAACATCCACGCCCTGGTCCTTAAGACCCTTCCTCCGGGGGCACCTGGGTGGCTCAGTCGTTAAGCCTCTGCCTTCGGCTCAGGTCATGATCCCAGGGTCCTGAGATCGAGCCCCGCATCGGGCTCCCTGCTCCTCGGGAAGCCTGCTTCTCCCTCTCCCACTCCCCCTGCTTGTACTCCCTCTCTCGCTCTGTCTCTGTCAAATAAATAAAAAATCTTAAAAAAAAAAAAAAGACCCTTCTCTGTTTCAAGGAACCAGGCTCCCAGGAGAATGGCTGAATCCAGGCCTGGGAAAGAACAAGATGAGCCTGGAGCATCTCCGTGCAAGAAGGAATAAAATGCTCCAGAGATGGAGACACTGCAAGAGGACTCGGGGTGGGAGTTAAAACAACAACTATTTCAAGATGTAATGGCAAAATCCAGGTTCACTGTACAATGTTTCCAACTCCGCTGTTTGAAATTTTTTACAATAAAATGTTAGAGATAAAAAAAAAGGATCTACACCTGAAAGTAATATTACACTGTATGTTAACTGGAATTTAAATAAAAACTTGGAAATAAAAAAAAGGATCACAAAGGCTAAACCCAGAAAAACAACAACAAAATAACC